AAAATTTTTATCATCTGGTCAAGATTGCTAACATGCCAGATTAGAAAACAAAATAGTCTCATTAGCGCACAGTTTCAAAGCCAACCTTTTTAGAAGACAAAATCTCATGGATAAAGGATAATGTCTTCGCCATTAATCAATCCCTTTGTGGGATGCGGTCAATCGCAGCTTACTAGCTCACTATTTGCCGTACTTGCATTGGGTGGCGATCAACGTATTTCATTCGGTCTTCCACCTTTTCTCGAATTAGTGAAGCTGGAGGTTTCGGAAGAGGGCTTACTTTTCACTCGCTCTGTTTGTGCTGTCAAGCCACCTGCGAGAGTAGAGAGGCAGGGATTGAATGCGGCTCTGTGACCAGGGCACGTCCTACGTTGGGGAATACTCGTGGGAGGGGCGTATTCGGTCGCCGGAGGTAAGGGTGCCTTCCATTTTCTCCTGCTCGACGGCAAAATTTTGGGGAAAACTGGAAAATTCTCGGGAACTTTCCGGAAAGATGCAGGATGCTTCAAAAAGTTGGCAAGAGGTAAGACAGTACCAACGAGGGGGATGGGGGTCGGCAGAGGACGACACTGGGGGAAGGGGGTCGTACTTCACGAAGTTTCCCCAGCGGCAGGACGTGCCCTGTCTGTGACTTATACGGGTACATGGTCAACCCATACATAGATTGTGTTTTCTACATCTTGGTCACAGGTTTTATCCTAGAGCTACCGTTGCTAAAGCACTTGTGATACTGGCTGACATTCGTAGGTGCTTCGGAAAACTGCTCAGATCGACATCTCCCCCTGTATCATATCCAGGCTCACTGTCAGATTTCTCATCTTCTATAGAGTGGTCACGTTAGCTGAACCTTGGAGAGCCAAAGGCAGAGAGTGGTTCACTAGGCGAAGTTCTTTTGTGAAACTCCTTCAGGTGGATGTACACTTGAAGGCAGTTGGCACGATGATTTGGTGCTTGGCCCAAAATGCTAGAAGGGCGCTATATAGTGGGGAAATGGCGAAAGAACGGAGTGAAACGGTCAAAATCCTGCGAAGAAAGAGCCTCCGTTCTCAGTGTGTTAGAAATCAATTTTGGACGAGTTTCCTGTAGGCATCTTGCCAATAACCGCTACCGAAGGTACGGCTGCATATGTGTACCCATATATCCATGCAGCATCACGGCCGCTTCATACCAATCCCTTCGCTTCATAATTTGCTTAGCAAATGAATCGATTAGAGCGTCAGGAACGGTCGTCCATTTGTGGGCGGGCGGGCGTGGCGGGCGTTTGGGTCGGTATGTTGTGGCTTGATAGGGCCCTTATAAGGGCACCTCCCTTGGAAAAGGCATTATGCAGCGCCTGCTCAGGGTCGCGGAATTCCGTCCTGCCAGGCGGATTAATCCTACTCCGCTTGGGGGATTTATCGTGCCAACTGCCTTTAAATGGACTTGAGGGCAGATCGGGGCACCCCACTGGTTGCGGATTTCGGTTCCGTACGGCTCTCCCCCCTCTAAATGTTCGCTTGATATGTCAGTCCGTACGGCTCTCCCCCCTCTAAATGTTCGCTTGATATGACCGGGCTGTGAGCGTCGGCTGGGCGAGAGACTGGCGAGGAAAGCTGACATATCGAAGCAAATATCTAACATAGTTTTAGAGATGACCTTCTCTTGTCAAACGCTTACTCCTTGTCCACGTTTCTCCTAATGAAGATAAAAAAGCAAACAAAACTGCAGAAACTGCACACAGTCGCAGATGTAGGAGAACTTTTTTAATAAAGGTTACATAAGGAAAGTAGACAGATCGAGATGGAATATGAGTATGGCCGGAAAAAGATCAGAACGGAGAGGAAGAATCACTCCCCGTTTAGTTACATTACGTCATAAAGGGGTCAGGCTATCAGCTGCAAAAGTGTACGTGTTAGCAGCCGGTGAGTTTACGGAAAAATATGAAATTCCCCTTTTTTAGAGCTCATTGCATATTGCAGTTTCGCGTATCATGGCTACTGCAAGGCTAGCTATCCCTCGTTTGAGGAAAGTGGATCTTTCAGTGAAAAATGCTGCCATTTATGTCTGAAATATTTGAAAAAATCTCTTGATCTGCCCATCATCTATCATGCCCGTGACTAATCGACATCCTAAATGGTGATCTCAGCAAAGTGGTGAAGTCCATCTGGGCTATTGATCACTTTCCCAAATCTCATGTTTGAACCTGGTTCTAACCATAAGTGTTCGCTTTCTCAGAACCTGTTCCTCAACGACAGCTCTTCCAGGGACCGATTTCTCGACTGCCGCTATTGTTATTTGAAATTCAGTCTATATGTTGTGAATCAATTTTCCAAAAAATGACTGGTTACATACAATAGAACTTTCTCCTCAACTTTGGAATCATTCTCTACCTCCAAATTCTCTCTAACATACACGACGTAGAATTACACCACTGAATTACTTTCTCTGAAAAACTGCAGACATGACTGAATGGTAATAGTTCCTATCGGCGCGGTTCGGCGACGGGGGCATTCTGCACTTTTGCTACTCCCCATCGACGTATCGAGCCATCTGAAGAGCTACTGCAGCAGAAAAAAACTTGGAATAATTCCAGAACACACGCTTCTTAGTAGTTTTGCCTGCAACTTTTAAAGGCATTTGGCACGATGGTTTCCCACTCGGCCTAAAATGCTAGTAGGGCCCTATGTAGTGGGGAAATGGCGAAAGAACGGAGTGAAAGGTCAAAATCCTGCGAAGAAAAAGCCTCCGTTCTCAGTGACTTGAAAATCGATTTCGGACGAGTTTCCCGTAGGCATCTTACCAATCACCGCTACCGAAGATACGGCTGCATATGTGTACCCATATATGCATGCAGCATCACGGCCGCTTCATACCAATCCCTTTGCTTCATAATTTGCTCAGCAAATGAATGAATACGAGCGTCAGGAACGGTCGTCCGTTTGTGGGCGGACGGGCGAGGAAGGCGTTTGGGAAGGAATGTTGTTGCTCGATAGGGCGTTACAGGGGTACCCTTCCTTACATCCGGGTCCTCTGCAGCGCTGTGTTCGCTCCATCAAATTAGCGATAACCTTTTTCTGCTGTTTTGCTGCCACCGACCCTGCGTTTACGACCGTCCCCTCACCCGATGCATTTCGCACAACCTCCTGTTTTTCATGCATTGCTGTATTGCTCGATTTTCCCTTTTTCTTTCTTCCTAGCCCTTTAATCTAAATGCTGTTTTCTGCTGACGGGACGTTGCATTGCGGCAGAACTTTGGAGGATTCTAGCCCATATCAGCTTTCTCGTCAGCTCTACAGCAATTCCTTCCATTCCTCTTCCATTCCATTGTGTGGGTGGTGGTGTGAACGTGTGTGTGAGTTGTGATGCGTTGTTGTCTTGTCAGAATGTTACCAACATGCTTTTCTCTTTCTGTAGACCACACCGATGAGCCCATCTGTGCACTTGGCTGTCTGTGGTTGAGAGGGCGAAACAGCCTTTTCGTAAATCCGCATTTTCATGTTGTTATTTGTGCGTTTCAGGTATTCAGTAAACTACTTTGCTTGTAAGGTGAGTTCATGATTTTGATATTAAGCTTCATTACTTTACAATAAATAGGGACATTTCTGAAAACACATGTCTACTCGTATACAACCCGAATATCCACTACCCGTAAAGTACATGTATAAGGGAATTGTTACCCGTAGGCGGATATCACACCCCGATCACCCGTAAGGTACACGTATAAGGAGGGTTTTACCCTTACTTAGATATCACACATACCCCTTCATCCATCACTCCGTAAATGGAGATTGTTACCCGTTGTGGTGATTTACCCGTAGTATGCCCCGTCTTTACAGAGATCAATAACTTAACTCTACTGCACACTATACATAAACTATACATATATACATTACTTTTTGACACCACACCTCTCTTGCACTACTTTCCGCACGTCTCTATAGGGGTCAGATTCGTCCATGATCTTTACGGCGTCCTTTACATCAATGTTAATGTTGCTGCGAGCTTCGTCCACATTTCTTCAATGAGCGTGGGAAAGTAGAAGAGCCGTGCCTCGCCGAACGTCTGCAGCAGTGACTTCTCTCGGGCCTTGTCCTCAGTTTGCTCGACCTGGAACGTTGACATGCGTTTGCCTTCTCTGCAGAAAGACAACTACACAATTTTACACTTACCATTAACCTCATAGTCTTTCGTCACGTCGTCATAGACAATACAATTTCCATAGCGCTTCTTCTCAACCGCTTCGATTAGGTTGCCCAACAATACCACTACCAGGACAGCGCCCACTGATCTCCTACGCATTCTCGCTCCTCCTTCTTCGTGCTTCAGTAGCAATACCACAGGGTTTCCCTTTCCATACGCATCTCTATGCGCAACACATAGCAACTGGAGTAGCGCATTTGCGTTCAGTGGAATGTTGCCGTCATTTTTCGAAAGTGGGTAGCCGTCCTATGATCATAGTATAACAATATAGAATATAAATATTTTTGCACTAGTCGATAAGACCAACCTCTTCGCCCAAGAACATCAATCGACTGTGACGATATGCGTCGCCCACATCCGCAAGGCGACTCGAACCGATGAGCCCCGGCACACGGGTCTTCACATTCAATGAACACAAGACGTTGTGTGCAGTGACGATGCGCCGTACGTCGAACAACTCCTCTTCTGGTGAAATGGCCATTTGCTGCGAATAAGAGTCGTCGTCAGGTGGCATGGCGCCCATTCTCGGTGGCACATCGACGTCCACGGCAAGCTTCTCTGATGACACTGTAATGGACGAATCGTGAAATCAGTCAATGTGAATAGTGGTATGGTATTCGCTGACCCAAATTTTCGCTGCACTCTGAACACAAACAATCCATACGCTTTTCAGTCGTTCTTCCGTAAAGGGAGCCGTAATTCCACAGAAGCTGTGTCCCTTTCTGAACGACCGATACGTAAATAGTGAAGTTACCAAGTGTTATAGTGTGGGTAAAGGAGAACAGTGCTTACTTCTATGTTTCGTGTGGCCTTGAACAGGACTATGTGCTCGCTCTGATTCCCCTGGTCGGTCGAAAACGAGCGAGTGGATGCAGAGGTTTGAGGTTGGCATGCTTTCGACTGTGGTTGAATAGACGACCCAGTACTACAGCGCCCTTGTATATGGGATCATGGGCAAGGATTGAGTAATCCTGCGCCTGTCGAGCTGCCTTGCCTTTGGGATCGTATATATAGCCTGAAATGTGCTGCTTGATGTTGTACTAAAGTTCATTTGTGCTCTGCTATGCTTACCCAGGTAGCTAACTTCATAGTCGCCAACCAATTCCGACTCTTCACGGGTCATATGCTCTAGCATCCTGTCTCGCGCTTCCACAGTCAAAAATAGGCCCCTTAAAGAGAGTTTCATTTTATCATATGCCGATTGTTGCAGGATCGTAGACAGTTCACCTGTAGTCGCAAACAATTTGGTCCTTCAATATGCGAGTTTTAGCGAATATTCCTCGTCCATTGATGCTAGGAATATCGCGCACTTCAAGCCAAGGAAAGTCCTTAAATGAATGGCACATAACTGTGCATATGTAGCAGGGATACAATCAATTAACCTGAATCGGTTGAGCTAGGCGTCGTTGATTGAAACACTGCTGCTCGTACTCACTACGATAGGTCCTCCTCCTGTTAGCTTTGTCGCACTCAATCTGCATGTACGACTACATTCGTAGTATTCTGCAGAAAAAAATAAAATAAACTGGCAGTGGTGAAGCATAACGCTTACGCATGAAAATCTTCAGCTGCTTTTCAAACTTTTCTCGTGCCTCTGCACCGCGCTCCAACGCGTCCCTTATGATCTGTTACGAAGATTGTGGCTCCTTCTTCTCTGGTCTCTTCTTCTGGAACTCTCTCACTTTCTTCTGCTTGAGGTTCAGCTGGCGGTTCTTCTTCTGGCACTATCTCTCTTTCTTCTACTTCTGGGACTGGCGTTTACGTCGCTCATACTCTGCTTATCGTTAACTCTGTTCACTAGACGTTTTATCTAACTCTCCACTCCCTGATCGATTCGTTCTTTGCTCTCTTGTCTTGCTCCTCTTGCTTCCTGTCTCTTTGTTCCTCGTTCTTGTTCTTCAGCCGGTGGTGTTCTGCTGCTTCCTGGACGTGGACTTCTGCGTTTCCTCCGCCTTTCTTGTTCCTGTCCTCTCGCTGCTCGCGTCCCAGAAGCGTCATCGCCTGTCTCGCTCAATCTTCTTCGCTTGCTGGCACGCAACCCTGTGGATGTTGAAGGCTGGTCAGCATCTAAATCTCTTTGAACATTCTTTTAACCTAACAACATATGACACAAGTAGCCCGTCGTACCTGATTCACTCAGTCCAGCCAAATCTCGATAATCGCCTACAGCATAATCGAAGCTTTCTTCGCTAAACTACGCGTTGCCTTTAGTGATGAGCAATCAATGTGCTTACGATGCCAACGGTTTCACCATCCGCTTCACTTCTGCGACACGCGCTTTGATCGTGTCATTCTTCTTGGACTCCTCTTTAGCAAGCGCCCTCAACTTCACATACCCATACACACAGGACTTTTGATATCGTTCCACATAAATCTCCTGTGTCCTTTGCCGGTGAGCTGTCAAAAGCTTTTTTATGTGTCAACCAACACATACCTGTGCCTATGTTTTCTTGAAGGAACTTGTAAAACGACAGGATGGCCTTGGCGAACATGGAACGTACGCCCACTGGTACACTTGCATTTTGGAGTCTACGAAAAAACTCCTTGACAATATCACACGAGAATATGGCATCATCCACAGATACCGTTTCGCCGAATCTGAACAATAACTATGAAGCAATTACTGCTACGTCCCACTATTCACGCAGCTTCACCTTGTGATCAAGCCATTTTTTACACTTCTCGTCCACAACAAAATAGTCACCGCTCCAGCTGGTCGGTTCTCGGACCCTATAGTGGTGCTTTGGTAGGGGGTATTTTCCTACCTGAATTTATAATATGATCTTACAAATCACACACACCATTCTCAAGACACTGACCCAAAATTGCTCCGATCTCAAGACATGTCGGTGTTCGACCGGTTCTAGTCCGCTGCATCCTTCGCCGCTTCCACACATGTTGCCATAACGAGTCTTGTAACAAAGCTCGTTTCGTGCAGCGTTGCAGTGCACCAAATACGCCATGATAGCACTAAACAATACTCTTTCATGCTTCATGCTGCGACGTCACCACGTCAAACTACGATACCCCATCACATAGTTGTAATTATAATGGTTTATGGATATCTGTTTTCATGAATGCTTGCACCATATATGCTACTCT